TACTTCAGGGCCGCAGCGCGTCACGCATAGCTTGGAAGGGTTTGTGTGTCAGCACAAAGCTGAATCTGCCGCGGCCCTCAAGTAGCCTCTCCCCTCCCTCTGCATAGGCTTCCGTGGCTAAGCTGGGTCCCATTCCCTGCCATCCGTAACAGGGGAACTTCCTCACTCCATCCTCAGGTGGGGGGCTCGAAGACACAGAAAAGGGCAGATCTGGCTTCCTGTTTTCCCTGAGACGTTTGTGAGCAGAAACAATAACCCCATCGCTGTCTTTTTGGTGAGATACGCTTTTAAGGCTCTGCTGGACAGGGTGCTGGGCCATCTTGTCTACGGTGTGCTTTTGCCAAGAAAGATTGGAACAGATGGTCCTTGAGGTCCCTTCCGACCTGGTATTCCATGATTCTGTGGTCTGTTATTCTAGTGATAACATGTTCTCTCAAAAAATTGGTAGGACAGGACTGGGAAATTATTAGAACTGCTTTTGTTGTCTCCGGGAAAGATGGCTCCGCTCTACTCCTTCATCATGTAGCTGGAAAGGATTTTCCTCACAGAGCAGTTCCTCTGCTACAGGAACAGTTTCTTATCCAATTGTAAACCTCTGAGTTTTGCCAGACGTCTCGTCTGAAGTGACTACTCAGTCCACCAGAGGATCAGAGGCAAAATAAGGGGATGATAAATCGGAGTATTGCCGTGCCGGTTGCTGGGACAGTCCTGTGGGGCGCAGGAGGAGGTCTTCCTTCTCCAAAAGCAGTGTCACAGATTGAGTCAGGAATGATCCAGCAGTGGTTTCCCTTACCCTTTTTGTTTTGTTTTGTTTTCCATCATGGAGCAGTCTTGGACGGTGTCCCCGGATTGCCATAGGGCAGCAGGTCAGTGGGGATGCCCCAGTGGCTTCCGGGCCATCACACCAGTGGCCACCAGAGAGAATTACATGGGATGCCCTGCCTCATTTATGCATTCCTGTAGAAGAAATCCGTTTGGCCAGCCCTTGTGAAGGGTGCATTCTGTGGGCAGGCAAAACCCTTCTTGCTGTTTGTGGGACTTGGAATAATTTTGGGTTGACTTTTTGTGTTACTGGTTGTAGGTGCAAATTTGGCGATAAAACCACCTCCCCAAAAGAGTATGTATCACTTACTGTGTTTCCAATGTTGGATCCAATATCCCTTTGGAAGAATAGAGCTGAACAGAAATTTATTTATGATGCAGAAGAGGATATTAGATCTTAGCAAAATGTACAAAATCAGTGGCTCTGTACTTTCAGAAAGAATTTGTGCTGTATCTGTAAGGCAACCTCTTCAACTTCCCATGATGCAGGCTGCAAGATGCTATCAGAGGCATTTCTTGTGAAAGTGACAGTCCCCAGAATATTGTGTATATTTTTTTCTGAGTGTTTTATGGTATGACTATATGAATTCTTCCTAACTCTTTGTGAACATGAGGGGCAAGTGTGAGAGCAGTGAGGCAAGAAAGACAAAGCTCTAACAAGATTAATTTCAATGCAAGACAAAACACATTTGTTTAAAAAAACCCCAAAACCAAATAGGTTTCCCTTGGAATGCTGCTAAACATGACTTTATGAGTAGTGTTTGTCTGCTTGTCTGTTTAAAGCATAGGGCTTTTTGTTGCTTGGGAGCTTCATTGTTGGGGTCAGTCTGTAATGATAAGCTTCCTACAGGAGATGGTGCAAGTACATATAATAAATACTTGGAAAGGGAACAGTCTTTGGTGGAAGGGTGTGAAGAAATAGACAGCTGCCCCTTACACTTCTCTGAAGTCTTGATAAGCAATAAAACTTTCTTGCTTTCTAGGAAGCAAAGAAGTTTAATTACTCTTACAGCCAAATGCTAGACGAAGTTTTAACCTAGGGTCCAAACAATAGGAGTTTGGAGTTGCTAAAGTGATTGATTCACCTACTGGGTGAATCCCAGTGGGACTACCAGAGTCTTCTGCCCTTCCATGTTACTGGTGTAGACTGTGATTACTTTTTTCAATCTATTTTGTTTTAAAAATGTGTGCCAGTTGGATGAGTGCTGTGTTGAACTGAAACAGATCTCACTGTGGCTGGGCTGCCCAATTCGGTGAAATATTTAGTGAGGAAGGTTATTCATTCAGCAGAACTGAGCAGTCCTCCAGCTTATGCTGTTTATAATTGAAAATTATTTCTGGGTGAGTGAGTTAATTATTTCTTGCTGTCTCACTACCCTCTACCTATTTTAAAACTGTGTATTGACCTTCAGGAATAGCTGAATTTTTAGCTGGGTGGTTCCTAGCATATGCTGGTTATTTCGGTCGGGGTGAGTATTTCCTGCTTCTCCTAGGAGTTTCAGACATAAATAAAAGTTTAGAGGACCTCTGGGTGAATATGTTCATGGTTCAGCACTTTAATGTGTCAATTAGCTACTAACAGTGTCAATAAATTGGACCTGTCAAAAAATAATAGCTTCCTTGCCAGTCTTTGTCTCCCACTTTACCTGTGTGCTACAAGGTAATACATTACACAGGGCCAAAAGTAGTAAAAGTCAAGTTTTCCATGCCTGTAGCAAAAAATAACAAAGCAAGACTGCTGTCTTCATACTCAGCATTTATGAACCAAGAGCCACCTTTTGAAATCTTCGTCAAGCCCTTTTCCTACTGAGATCTCTCAGGTTTTGCCTGAGTGAAGAAAAAGGAGTAAGGGGCCAACCATATCCTGGGCTCCATCAAAAGAAGTGTGGCCAGCAGGGCCAGGGAGGTGATTTTGTCCCTCTACTCTGCTCTGGTGAGACTACACTTGGAGTACCGTACACAGCTCTGGTGCCCTCAGCACAGGAAAAACATGGAGCTGTTGGAGAGGGTCCAGAGAAGGGCCACCAAGATGATCAAAGGGCTGGAGCACCTCTGCTGTGAAGACAGGCTGAGGGAGTTGGTGCTTTTCAGCCTGGAGAAGATAAGGCTCTGGGGGGATCTTAGAGCACCTTCCAGTACCTGAAGGGGGCTACAGGAAAGCTGGGGAGGGGCTTTTCATCAGAGAGGGCAGTGATAGGACAAGGGATAATGGTTTTAAACTGAGAGAGGGGAGATTTAGGTTAGACATTAGGGAGAAATTCTTTACCATGGGGATAGTGAGGTGCTGGAATAGGTTGCCTAGAGAGGTTGTGACAGCCTCATCCCTGGAGGTGTTCAAGGCCAGGTTGGATGAGGCTTTGTGCAACCTGGTGTAGCGTGAGGTGTCCCTGCTCATAGCAGGGAGGTTGGAACCTGATGATCTTTAAGGTCCCTTCCAACCTTAACCATTCTGTGATTCTGTGAGGGGATTTGACTGAAAAGCAGAGGGGTACCTATCACCCAAGTTTCAACTGAATTGTTTGGGAGGACGGTTCTATGTCACTGTTGAGGAACTGTTACTCTGCCCAGCTGGATGAGAAAGGTCATCGTCTTGACTAATTTTAGGTTGCTACAGTCTGGGTGTTTGAGGTGAGTCACCTTAGGCTCTCTGCTATGTTTATCATGGATGGAGAAGAGGAGGTTTCTCCAAAGGGTGGCTCATCCTTCTACCATAGGAGTCTACCTTCTAGTTCAAACTTAGCATACCTGGTTATAACGACAGATGCTTCAACAGGCACAAATTATGCTCTTGCACTCCAACACGAGAGTCGTACAACAGTTACAGTTGCTCCATTGACTAGCAGATGGGGCTGCAGAGGCACGTTGCAAATGAAAGAAGTCTCTGTGTGTGCCAAGAGGTGTAGATACATGGCAGTAGGTTGCGTTCACAGACGTGCAGCACAGCACCTAAGTTTGGTAGGACTGATAAAGTGGGGTGTTACGTGCTACAAGTGGCTTCTTGTGTGCTGCCTGTTGTGCAAAGCTGTGAATCAGTGGGGTTTTTTTAAACATTTTTCAAGCCCAGAGCAGTCATCCTGGAGCTAATGTGCCTCCAGCAGCAGCAAAGTGGGTGGCAGTATGGAGAGCAGAAGTATGGCATACTTGGCAGTATGGCCAAGCTTCAGTGGTAGCCTTCTGCAGCTCAAGGACCTGCCAGCCAGATGCAGATTTCTCTTAAATGAGTGTTGCAGTCTCTTCTTGATTCTCTGTAAAACTTCAGCATCCACATATCCTGTGGAAAGGTGTTCCACCATTTTGTTACATGAGCAAGTGCACTTTTGGTCTTAAATCTGCTGCCTTCTGTTTTCACTAGATGTCTTCTAGTTCCTGTTTTCATGTATTAATTTCCTATATCTTAAAGACTTCTATGCAGGAGGGATTTTTTGTTTTGTTTTGTTATTTATTATTACATAAAATTGGGTGTAATAGGCAGTGAAAATGTGGTTTAGCTCTTGACATTTCCACCCACTGGAGATCAAAGCAAAAAGAATGAATGCCTTAATAGTGGAAGTACATTTTCATTTAAAATGAGCTCCAACAACAGCTTATGAAGAAAAACATCTTGTGATGGTTATTCAGCTGTGTAAGATTGCAGTGTTCCACCCTGTAAACAGTGAAATGAGATGATTGCAGTTACAAGATATTCGCTGAAGGGCGAAGAGGCCAAGCAACCTGTTGCCCTGCTGAAGGGCCCTGCCTCTGGGAGCTCCAGCTCAGGGCAGCCTCAGCCATGGTGGCAAAATCTGATGTGGCTAAATCCAGCCACAAGCAATTAGCCCAGGCTGAAGTATGAGCGACTCTGCAACCCGTGACAGCCACTGTGCAGACCGCGGGGAGTTGCTCTTCAAAACCTCATAGGTAGAACTTCTTGCAGATACTGTACCCGGTGCCACAGGATTATTTTTTGCAGTCCTGAATGCCATAGTATGTTTGTTATGAGCTGGGCTCAGGTGGTGATGCCTTATGAAGGGCATAGATCACCTCAGAGAATACACTGAAGGGACAGGTGACATTGGTCCAGCCAAGGTCCGATTCGGTTCGCAGTCGAGAGTGCTCAGCGTCGTGCAGAGGGAGAGGAGCTATGGCGAAAGCCCTTGTGGTCCCAGTTCTCATGTTAGCCTTACTCTTTCTCACTGCAGGTTACATCCAAGCCTGCAGAGGACTGATGATCTCCGCCGTCTGCCTGGGCTTCTTTGGTGCCGTTTTTGGACTGGTTGGGATGAAGTGCACAAAAGTCGGAGGCTCCGATCAGACTAAAGCAAAAATAGCTTGTTTAGCTGGACTGATTTTCATACTCTCTGGTAAATATACCTTATTTCTCTAAGTCTCCATATGTGAAGTCATACCAGAGCTGCTTCTTTTCCACAGAACTCCACGCACAGTTCTCCGTGACTTCATTGGCTTCAGGGTCAGGCCCAAAGCTCTTCTGCTGGCTCCACTGAATGGTTTGTCTTATGCTTTTCAGGGTTGTGCTCTATGACTAGTTGTTCCCTGTATGCAAACAGGATTACGTCTGAGTTCTTTGATCCTTCTTTTGTTGCACAAAAGTAAGTACTTTCCTATACCCATAAATCTTTCAAAGAAGTAGACTTTAAGTTTTGTACTGCACGCCAGGGCCCCTTTAGACTGAGAGCAGGTGCTGCTCCTGTTGGGCAGAGAAGGAAAGTGGGCTACAATTTTATTTAATCGTATTTTCCAACTGGAGTAACCGTGTGCTGAAATTTAATGAATGAACACTTCCTTGTGCAGTGATTTCTCTGTAACCTTCATGCCCACGCTAATGGTGGCTCAGTGGGATTCTGCTGCACTTGCCGCAGAGCAAATGGGGCTACTCAGGAGTGGAGCTTGTGTTTATTATGTCAGAGATGCAGCAGAAGAATGTCTCAAGACAGAGGCACTCATTAGGTGTGTTGTTCAATGAGAAAGAAGAAAGTTATTTCCTTAAGCTTTTGACAGAAGGTGGTTTCTGTAGAAGTGTCAAGTACTGCACAATCTTGATTCCTCTTGAAGAGAGGTTTCTGCAGGCTCTCTGGGATTTTTGATGACAGATATTTAGATTCAGATGACTGAAATTTCGATCATAAACCTTATAACCCTTGATGATACAAGCAGTAGCATGAATGCTTTGACTAGACATGTAATTCAGTTTAAAGGAGCGAATGTTTGTAGAATTGCAGGATCCATACCAGAAGTAAGGAGCATCCCTAAAAGACCCCCCTTAAACCTGTTTTCAGGACCTACAAGGGCAGCAATTAACAAATCGGTGTTTGGATTTTGAATTAGCATCTTATCCACCAAGTCTGAAAACATTGTCTGTAAATTATACCATCATAGACTTTCTTGTTTTGGCTTCTTACATGATGTAAAGTTATCTTTAAAGACAAGGATTTCAAAGTTTTCTTGGTGTTACTTCCAGAACATGTCAAGCATTGGGTGTAAATTTCCCTGAGATCCAATTATGGTTTCAGTAAGGAACCCCAAGCCTTTCTGTTTCTTCTTTATAGAAGGGAAATAGCCTGAATCAAAGAATCATAGCATGGTTTTGAGTTGGAAGGGACATTAAAGATTATATAGTTCCAGCCCCCCTGCATGAGCAGGGACACCTCCCACTAGATCAGGTTGCTCAGGGCCCCATCTAACCTGGTCTTGAACTCTTCCCTGGGCAACCTGTCCCAGTGTCTCACCACCCTCACACTAAGGAATTTCCTCATAATGTCCAACCTAAATCTCCCCTCTTCCAGTTTTGATGTTACCCCTTGTCCTCTCACTGCAAGTCCTTGTAAAAAAGCCCCTCCCCAGCTTTCGTGTAGCACCTTCAGGTACTGGAAGGCCACTGTAAGGTCTTCCTGGAGCCTTCTCTTCTCCAAGCTGAACAGCCCCAACTCTATCAGGCTATCCTTGTAGGAGAGGTGCTCCAGCCCTTGGATCATCTTCGTGGCCCTTCTCTAGACTTTCTCCATGAGCTCCATGTCCTTCTTATTAACTGGATACGCATTTGCAGTAGGGCTGACACTGCCTTTTGAAAGCAATTTCATATTAATTTCCTCCATAATTCTGCTATGGTTTCTGCTTGAGGACAGGATCCAAAGGCCGCCAAAAGAAACAAGGGTATGAGGTACTGTGAGGAAAATGGAGCCTGCCTATATAGTCAGGAGTTAATTATTCATCAGGCTTGCTGTTCCTAGTGAAAAATACTGTGGTTGTTGCCAGAATTCCCTTTCCTACATTGTATTCCTACTCTGTTCCTCTGTGAAAGGGCAAGCAGACCTCACAGCAGAGTTGTACTGTGAACAAATGAGAAGTCCAGTTTAAATATTGAAATAAAGGTAGTAAAACAGAAATTACTTTTCTCTTGAGCAACTAGCATAGCTCAATTGCATGAACACATAATGGCAAGAACAGAGATAAAGGCAGAGAGGAAAGCCAGAAGTTGTAATTTGAGTTGCACATGGTTTAGCTCATGCAATGACCTTGTGTCAGATTAAGCTAATGGTGGCATTTCACTCTTTTCTCCCTCAACCAATGTAAATTACATTGGAGTAATGTATTTTGTTGCCTTCTCTCAACTCTTGCTTTGATATATGTTGCAGAAGCATTTAGTTATATGCTTTGCAGGTATATTGTGGCAATTTGGCATTGGCTCTTCACTGGGTGCTGCTTTGGGTTTCAGCCTTTCACATGTTGCCACGCATTTCTCTCCTGAAGTTATTCTGGTGGTGTCAAACACAGGCTTGAGATGCCATTAATGGAGAATGAATGACAGGAAGTGTTTAGCATCATCCCAGCCATCAGAATGTCCCCGCAACCTTCTGCATTTGGAAGAGGCATCCTCATTAAGTACAGGGGCAGGAGGAGTCAGAGACCTACCTACAGCTGTTGCCCAAGAGACTTCTGGTTTGAATTGCTGTACCTAACTGAGGAGTGACAGGCATCACGGGGACACCCTAAAACCCACTCTACTTAGAAAGAAATACTAGGCTGGGCTTTCTGTCCTGATGCATTGTCGATTTAAAACACCTCCAAAATAACTGCTTGACCCAAGGTAATAACATGCACAGTCTGAAGGACAGCATGGGGTGGTTTGATACTTGCAGTCAAGATGGATTTCATTTTTCTTCAGATACCTCTAACAGGATAAAATAAGTGTTTCTGTTTTGCTGTCTTGCTAACATTGCTCTCACAGCTGTTTTTTAAAAAAATATTTTGTCACTTTTGATACAACCTTTGTTGTATCAAAAAGAGTTGATAACTTTTGATAAAACTCTTACAGTCTTTTTTTTTTTGTCCCTTGCCACATTTTGAACTCCATAATCAAGATCATTCTTACTGATAAATGGTGTTAGTTTATCCAGATTATCTGATAGATTCCCCATTGTTTTTGTAGAGAACTGTTCCCTTCAGCCTTCCTTTCTTTGAACTGATCATGCACAGTTCACTCTCTTTCCTCTGAATGGCTGTTACGTTTCAACCTATTTTTCATTTTCCAAGAATCATAATAATTATACATTCAAAATGTCTTTTTCCCTTGGGTAGTTGGACTGATTTGGTAGCTAGGTAGGTAAGTCCTTTACATATGCTGACGTCCAGCTAGCTTATGAAGCTTCCATTAGTGTGCTTGGAAATTTACTTCATGCTTCTAATGTATGTAACAACTAGAATATTTTTCTTCTATACTGATACTGCACTTTCTTTCACTGAATTCTGCTTCCCTGAATTACCACAAAGAATCTGCTTTCCACCTGCTTGATCAACGTAGTTGGAGGTGGCTTTCCCTTCTCTGCAGTTGAATTCTTGTAGGCCTCAGCAATCACCACCTCTAAAGCCACTTCATCAATGCCCTGTTCCCTCCTGAGCTTCCAGTGATCTCTAAGCAATCTCTAATCAGCTTGATTTCACTGGCTGGAGACAGTGGATACGCAGCCACAGGCTTCAGAGAGTGGCTGCTTTGGTTCAACCAGTTTCATTAAGATTTATATGGACAGAAGGGTGTGTTTCCCACAAAGATTTTAATGATAAAGAGGGAAGGGAAAAACAGCAAGTGCATTCATTTCTTCCAAAAAAACCCTGTCTCCTCTATCTTTTTTTTTTACTTTTTCTTTTTTTTCTGAAGGTACCAGTCTACTTAAGGGCTTTTTCATATGATTTGGTATTTTTACATAGTAGATTTTGATGGGAGGTTGGAGTTGGCATCTTAAATGCTGAAAAGATGGATTGGATAAAATCCAGGCAGCCTTACACAGGTTGATACGCAGTTGAGAAGGTGAAATTTTCCTCACAAGCGCCAGTGTAAATCAAAAAGTCTTTTAGCTGTTTAAAGATGTGGAAGAAAGACTAACTGGGCAAGCTCTGCAACTCATTAACCTAGTGATGTGGCAGTCACCCCAGACAGGTACATATATGCAATCTCTTTCTACCTGTGATAGTAACAAATGTTAAAAAATACAACCAATCCCCAGAACAAAGGCTAGACCCCTTATCTTCTTTCTCAATTAGTGGGCAACAGTCGGGTAACCCTTTTCTACCCAATTAAACCCAATGTAACCTTGATTTATTCTTCAGGAAGGGAGATGGGAATTGGTCTCCTTATCTCTCTCACCTTAGCCCCTGGCCAACTGTTTAATGCTGTTAGATGGAAATGTGGAAATGAACTTGTCTTTCCCACTTTCTAGGCAAATGGTCTTGGCAAGTAAGTTGTTACAGCAACAGCCTTCCTGAGTCTTGGTCCACCTGTATTGTCCAGCACCTCAGTGGTCTGTGCTGACTTTTCTGGGTTCCTAAGTGCCACACTGGGTATGGAGAATGTTTGGGGGAATCTGATCCTTTTTAGCAAGGTGTGATAAATAAAAGCTCTGCCTAGGATGATGTGAATGGAAAAGGCAAAAGAGCCTGGCAGTTAGAGCACTAGCAGGGTTTTGAAGAGTCAGGCCTAAGCCCTTATGAAGTATTCAGCGTCTGAGCTGTAACAGCTCCATCTCTTTCCAGCAATTAATCCCCGAGTCAGAAATTACTTGGACCTGGGTGTCCATGGCATGTAGCACAGATATCCAAGGGGTGGCTTTTTCTCTCTCCATTCTCTCCATGCCTTTTTTTTTTCTTTTTTTCAAGTCTGTGCTTTACCTCTGTGCAGAATCTCAAGAAAACACAGAAAAGCAAGTTTTTGTTCTCCCGCCTGTGTTTGTCCCTTTGTGACCTATCATAGAAGTCACTATAACTTTCTGGGTGATGAGGCTCACTGGCAATATTTGGGTGTTTCTACAGTGTCATCTTTGTAAAGAGCTTACAGGTGATTTCAGTTGTGTATGTCAGCTAATGTTAAATAAGGATGTGTCCATGTGGAAGCAGCTTCCAAGTCCTTCAGTTGTACAGGCAGGTTGTCATGCAGACCTTCTCCTTTGGCTGGGTCACCAGCATGTACAATAAATAAACACACTTACTAGCAAAGGCTTGAACAGCACGGCCACCTGACCTGTAACTGCAGCTGGATAGGGGAGAGGGGAGCCTAAGAGGATCCTAAGAGTCAGGAGGAGACAAAGGCTTCCTCCAGGAGGAACTAGACCAGGGAAGGAGTGGGAGATGCACCGTCTGTCCTAATAATGAGGAATATGAGACTCTGGAACAGGCTGCCCAGGGAGGTTGTGGAGTCTCCTTCACTGGAGACATTCAAAACCCACCTGGATGCATTCCTGTGTGATGTACTCTAGGTGACCCTGCTCTGACAGGGGGTTTGGACTAGATGAAGGTCCCTTCCAACCCCTAAGATTCTATGAGACTGCTGGGCCTGCAGCCACAGGCAGGTCATCTCAAAAGTGTTTTAAAGAGTGGCACTTCAGGCAAAATGCTGGAGAGTGGAGCAAACAAGTGGCAGCCATGGCTTGCTGCTCATCGTGGAGCTCGAGAGCTCAGGTTGTGGAGGCTGAGCTTGAGCAGGCAGGGGAAGGAATCTTTTCCCCATGCTCTTCTTTTCCTTAGTTTACTACTGTTGCTTTAGAAACTTGGACTTACCCTTGTATAGTTGCATGTCTCAAGAACCACCATCTCGTATGTCAGCTAATGTTAAATAAGGATGTGTCCATGTGGAAGCAGCTTCCAAGTCCTTCAGTTGTACAGGCAGGTTGTCATGCAGACCTTCTCCTTTGGCTGGGTCACCAGCATGTACAATAAATAAACACACTTACTAGCAAAGGCTTGAACAGCACGGCCACCTGACCTGTAACTGCAGCTGGATAGGGGAGAGGGGAGCCTAAGAGGATCCTAAGAGTCAGGAGGAGACAAAGGCTTCCTCCAGGAGGAACTAGACCAGGGAAGGAGTGGGAGATGCACCGTCTGTCCTAATAATGAGGAATATGAGACTCTGGAACAGGCTGCCCAGGGAGGTTGTGGAGTCTCCTTCACTGGAGACATTCAAAACCCACCTGGATGCGTTCCTGTGTGATGTACTCTAGGTGACCCTGCTCTGACAGGGGGTTTGGACTAGATGAAGGTCCCTTCCAACCCCTAAGATTCTATGAGACTGCTGGGCCTGCAGCCACAGGCAGGTCATCTCAAAAGTGTTTTAAAGAGTGGCACTTCAGGCAAAATGCTGGAGAGTGGAGCAAACAAGTGGCAGCCATGGCTTGCTGCTCATCGTGGAGCTCGAGAGCTCAGGTTGTGGAGGCTGAGCTTGAGCAGGCAGGGGAAGGAATCTTTTCCCCATGCTCTTCTTTTCCTTAGTTTACTACTGTTGCTTTAGAAACTTGGACTTACCCTTGTATAGTTGCATGTCTCAAGAACCACCATCTCCTCTCAAACAAATGGTGGCCACCCCAGGCAGCAGAGGAGACCATTCCTGGTGACCTGGAGTTGTGCACAACGGCTCAGAGGGGAGCTGTGTCTTCCAGCCTGAATCCAACCACAAGAATGAGAGCAGAAAGCTGCCAGCACAAGCATGTGTGCATGTGTACATGTGTACACACATGTACATCTGCGTGTGTATGCATGTACATGCATATCTGCATATACAGGTATCAGATACACATTGCATATGTGTGTGTATCCATATTGCACATGCATATTATAATACAGGTATAAAAGCCTCACGTTTTAAGCAGGTCTGGAATGTGGCAAAGGGAGGGAGAGAGATGCCAAGAAGTAGGGTGGAGAGTTGTAGGCAGCAGCTCTAGTCCCTGGCTCAGTGAAAGCCTCAGTCCAGCTTGGAAGCCAGTGGGAACAAACCTGACATTGTCCAAGGGGGTGGGAACTCTGCTGTACACGGATCAGGGAATCATGTAAACCCACAGGCAAGCAGTCCAGGGGGAGATGTGGAAAAGCCAGGCACCCTGGCTGGCTGTGTGTGGAGATAAGCATTGCCCAAGTGACCACAGGGACAAAGCCTGGCTCTTGAGTAAGAGGGAAATAATGAGAAGAACATGGGTGAACAGCAGAGCTGCTGATTTTGCGATGAATAATGTGTACGTCAATGGAAAGTTATTCAGGAAAAAATAAAATTATGTTCTTTTGTTCTGAAAAACTATTAAGTTCATGATCTGTTTTGTTAAACTCATTTATTAACTTCCTGTAGGTATGAATTAGGAGCAGCTTTGTTCATTGGATGGGCTGGAGCTTCACTCTGCATAATTGGTGGCAGTATATTCTGCTTCTCAATAGCTGAAAACAGTAATTCTCCAAGGTAAAATACAAGTTGTACTTACAGATAGAAATCAATACTAGAGCATTTGTACCTACTATATGGACGTGGCTTGATTACTTTCCAAAACACTTTGTAGTGAGGAGAAGGATTGTTTGGATGAAAGAAAATAATGGGATTTAAGGATAATACTCTATCATTAATGTAATTAGGAAAATGTATTGACTCAGAACAAATACTTGTGTTATATATGGTTGATAAATTTACTACAGCTGGAAAAAAATTGCATTCACTGGTTTAGGAAAAGTGGCCAGGTCACCTTACAGATGTGAATAGTTTATTTAAACACAAGTCATCAGATCAAAAGTAAGAGAGGCAAAGGACAGTGGTGGTGGCAGTGAGACCTCCAGCAGCAGAAGAGGGGTGATAATGAAGAGGCACAGCATAGGATCTGCCACAGCCTAAATATTTCAGGATTGGGACCCAATTTACTGGGCTTTAAAGGAGGGGATATGAGATTTTATAAAAGTGAATTGCAAAGCAAGTTGCTGGAGGGGAAACGCCAAACCAGAATGAGACCAAGGAAGGCGTCCCTCCCTGCCCCCTTCCCTGAAATGTATAGGTACGTTCCTGTACATTTCTTCTAGTTTTATGTTGCTGTAATGCTTGGGTACAAAGATGTTGCCTGTCTGTGGGGTAAGCTGTACATAGTTGATTCTCTTTTCTTTTCAGGAGGGGTTATGCATATAATGGAGCCGCATCTGTGATGTCTTCTCGTACAAAGGTCCACAACAGTGTCCCAGACAAAACCCCACCAAAGCACTTTGACAAGAACGCTTATGTTTAACTGTACTGTTGGAAGAGTCAAAGCGTTTTAAAAATGAGTTTGTACGTTTCCTGCAGAGTGATTTCCCACCCCCCAGCCCCAAATGTAATTACAACTAAGACAATGACTTTTTAAAACATTAACTTGCAGCTTTTTACATATTGATGTAAATTTTATTATATAATATTTTAAGATTGATGTTGGTATTGTAAAGTTTATACCTGGAAATCATGAGCTGATGTTGCTTTCTTGGAAAAAAAAATAAATGGGTTATTTACCAACTCAGCATGTCAGTGGCTTATGGGAATGGCATCAGACACACGGGCTGCAGGGTGTCCCAGAATCACAGAATGGCAGGGGGTGGAAGGGACCTCTGGAGATCATCTAGTTCAACCCCTTTGCTAGAGCAGGATCCCCTAGAGCAGATAAGTCATTGCAGCCATGTCTGAAATGGGTTGGGTACTGGACAAAAGAGCTCTGCTCTCTCTGTGCAGGGTGATACCCAAACCAGTGGGAATCAGCAGGTTCTTGCCTCTTTGCCACATTGCCCAGGTGGATGAACGTGTAACTTGGTCAATTGGGAGCCATAGGAATATGAGGGAGAGGCTGGTTGAAGTGAAAATAAGGATGGGATTTGGGAAGGCAGGAACGGCACAGACTAATCGGGTACTAAGAAGAGTCAGGACCAGTTATTTTACAAAAAAAGTCCCTCATGAGGGTCTTGCACAGCCCAAGAAGATGCATGGGAAGGACAACGCGTGTGGGATGGTAAGTGCTCGTGTGTGTGGCAGCAAGAGAAAAGGCTGAGGGAGGCTACGGCTTGTGGGGAGTTTGTTGGTGGGCAAGAAGAGGCTGAGAGCTGGTTCTTACATTTCCTTTGTGCCACCAGGCTCCCACCTTGCACAGCGCTCATCCCTCCAGGTGACAAGTCACTTCATGCCAAGCAGGGTGTGTTCCAGAATGGCTCCACACCTCCAGGTTACAAAAGGGAAGGGAAAAGCCTGGGCAATAACATCTGGCCTGCTCTGCCTATGATGTTCCCCAAGCAATTTTATTTTAAATAATCCTGAATTATTTACAACAGTTTAAAAATTCAGCCAATACTTTTTTTTTTAATTACCTGTCCATAGAAATATGATGTGGGAGTATTTGTACAATGATTGAATGATATCACAGATTATGAATAACAACAAAATGATTTCTAGACTGAGACCCTAAAATTGGACACAAGCTCAGGTGTGTCTTGAAGTTTGGACTGATGGAATTTTGGGACAAAGGTGCAAACATAAAAAAAAAAAGAACAGTCTTGGTTGTTAATGGCAGTTAATGGCACAGTATGATAGATAAGGTTTTGTATCTGCCACCATCTAACTACAGAGGTTCTTTTTATTTTACCTTGTTTTTGTATTTCATTCATGTCACAACACCATTGTGTTTTTTTAAGAAGGCAGCCAATAATGGAGAAAAGAGAAATATGAGAAGTCCTTGTGCTATGGCAGGTCAGTACTTTGCTCATCTTACCCTCAAGCTTGACATTTTTTTGTCCCATTTTTGTGCTTTCACGTAAACTAAAACTCAACTATTGAAAAACCCAAACTTTTCCAAGCAGAAGGCATTTAATAATAACTAGATTAACAGCTGAGGCCTTTTTTTTCTTTTCATTTGGTGTTTATTGCAAACCATGTTAGAAACTTAACATTTTAAGACATGGAAATATTTTATTTAAAATGTTCGTCATTTTATATAAATTTATGATAAAATACAAGAAAATGTGCAGCTGAAAATTTTATCAAGTAATACTCTGGAGTAAATTCTGTTGATTGGCTAACAGGCTTTCTTGCAAGACCAGTTTCAATCTTTAATGTAAACATTAGAAGTGAAATCTTCTCAGTGAAATCAAAGAGACTTTTACCATTGTGGTCACTAGAAAGCAGCATTAACTCTCAGATTTCCAAACAGAGATGGCCAGTCGTGTGCGTACCGATATTTTGGTTTCAAAAACAGGACTAAAAGGCAAGATCTCTGTAAACAGTGTTCCTTGTTATTACATGACCAATATGAAAAACGAGTATGAAACATTTTAAGTTTTCAATGACATTTTCAACCCTAACAGAACCCAAAAGCCTCCCATCAGGAACACAACCATTACATATCTGAATAATCGCTCCAATCTGTTACAGTGACTAAGCTGCTTGTTTTATCAGCTTCCTGAAGACCTGTTAAAATAACAACAACAACAAAAAATATATATATATTAGCAATTCAAAGTATTTTGGGGGTTACTTTTTACTTTCTGTTTATCTATGGGATAAAATCTCATGCTATGTGAGAAAACACCTGTGGACCACAGGAAGTCCAGAATTTCAACCAGTGGAGAAATTTAAAGTGTTGATAACATGAAGGCTGTTATCTCACAGAATACAATGCACAGTACAGTGTCAATACTACTTTCTCTTAAAAATAACCTGAAATACCTTTGTATCACTGACACAGCTTTAACATTTAAATATATTGAAATGTTAGGGCTAGAAAATATGATACAAGTTCTGTGTAAGATTGAGGTTATTACTTTACCAGTAGCTCAAATATCTACCTCAGCCTGGTAGGTCATTTAAATATCTTGGAACAAACCTGAAGTTTGATCATTATTCTCAAGACAAAGCAAGAAAATTTCCCTTCTCCCTTAAATTTGGGAAAAGATTAAAAAAAGAAATCCTGGGTGGTTAATTTTTAAGACAAGGTTGAAGCTTAATAGTACTGTATGTTTTAAAATCTCGAATTCTTGGCATCTCAGTAACTTTGTGTATGTGTTGTTTACATGCGTTATAAATAGAATGTATTTAAAGGACATAAAATCAACACAGTTTTTTCTTACTAGTTCTTTTCTTAGAAAAATACCATATATTGAATCACAACGTGTAATACAGTACACTTAAGTTCTCCTCTAGGTGTGTCAGGCACTTAAGGCTTATCATGTAGAAGTATGCGTAAGTTACCTTCTCCCTTTGGTACACTTGTTTTTGGAAGACCCCATGCTTGTACCACAGGTGCAGCATCTGACTCATTTTTCTGTACTGTCGGTGCCTTCTGGCCTTTATCATCTTTCATCAAGACAAAGTCTTCTACTGATGAAATGTCCCAATCACCGTCTTCAACTTCCGTGAACTAACAGGGAAAAGAAAAAGCATCAATTTTTCCTTTCTCCATTAAAGTTGTGCTGAGATCTTCTATAAACACAACAATGTGAAACTGCCGAAGAAAAATGCACTGGCCCTTACAACATGTATTACCACAGTTTTAAATTCCACATAATTCAATAATCTAAATTATATTAGTTCACTATTATAGTTCTAAAACTAAAAGTCCGGGTTTGTAGTTTGGGTTTGTTTTTTTTTAAGTCAGGAACTGCAAAAGTTATAGAGTGCTGCCAGTTTTGCAACTGGCAGAAACCTATGTTTTCAGGTATTACTTGTTTAACTGAAAAGAAGGATTGTCTTTGCTGGGCTATTGACTGTTCCAATGAGATGGAAAGTCCTTTAAGTATTAGGATGTATATAACTTACACAAACATAATAAAGACATGATGTTATCATGGAAGTTAGCATTTTACTTTGCTATATAAGCATTCTGTATGTACACTAGAAAAAATTAATACTGCAATAAAGGCCTTTTAGTTTAAAACTGGTTTATTTAAAGAGAAAATTAAATAATGAAAATTTAAAAACCCCTATGGTGCTCAAAGTTATAGTATGAATTCCTCTTAAGACTCACTGTCAACATGTACATTTTTAATTAAGTGGTGGATCTGCATGAGTTCCTAAAAGGAGAGTCAAGTCAAACAGATGAACCTGGAGGCAACAAATCCATAGTCTTTCTTATCTCATCTGCCTGAGAACCAAGTACCTCCATTCAGCTTTAGAAAGAAGAACTACAGTGTTTCCCTGTTTGTCAATCAGATGCAATTCAAAGGAATCAAACCCTTATTACCTTAATTGTGGAAAGCAAAAGAAGGTTTCTCATAAAACTAAAACCTTATTTCCCAGAAGTCTCTCAATATTACACTCTCAAGATTTAGAAGGTGCTTCTATTGCACAGAAGAATGATTCAGCTGCTATTAGAAAACAATGCAAGGTATGTACATACTAGAGAAAAATCAGCAAATATGGAGGTGTCATGTGTCTTGGAAGAAGGGAAGAGGCTGCAGTAACGCTCTATCTTTCTACATATTTCAATGTTAACACTGCAAACTGTTTTTCAGAAACTGACAGATCCACTCAGGGTGCTGTATTATTAACATACCAGGATTCAACATTTTGCTGTTTTGAATTATCTGTGTTTGGAGGGTGTGGTAATGGGCAAGTCAGTCACATATATTGAGAAATGCTGGAGGAAGAGTTTCCTCAAACATCCACTAAATCCCAACTGATTTTTCAAGTACAAAATATAGAGAAAAATGTCAACTTCAAACAGTTTTGATCAAGTAAATACCCAGCACAAATCAAAACTGCTAAGCAGTTTTATAACTCAATGACTTATTCCAAAGAAATTCCATAATCCATACACTATCTGGTGTACAACTGATAGAACTCTAAACTGAGGGGAAGACTGAGATCTTATGAGCCTGAATATGAAAGTTGTGTTAGTATTCTGATAGTGAACATATGCCATACTCAATGGACAGACATCAGTGATATGTCTGATGCAGTTTGGTAACAGTGCATGATTGTAAATCATGCAGCAGAACAAAAGCCATACTTGGAAATGGAATTTGTTCCCTCATTAAAATGTATTTAAGAGCTCCATATCAGATAAAACTCTAGAAATAAAAAGATGTTAAAATATTAGATAAGCAACTTCATTTTTTTCCTCCACCAAAGCAAGATAATAGGAAAGCAAGTTAAGAAGGGATTGATGCTGTCAGAATAGGAGACAAAAATTATACCCATTGTGCCCAAAGTTCAGGCTAGCTGTAACAATCCAAAGCAGTCATGGTATAAACTGATAAGCAGCATAGATGAAGGGGTCACTTCCACAGTTCCCTCACTAGCACTTTCCCATATATCAGTGCAGATATAAGAGTACTTAGTTGTAATTCCAAAACTATCTTTGAGTATTAAGCTCTTCACTCCATCAAGATGTTTTCAATATGAAAAAAACCAAAACCAAGAGATACAGATCTAGTTCAATTACTTAATGAAATAATGGCTATTAAAAGTGATACCTTCAGTTCTTGCACCTCATCTTTTCTAACAAAGGCCTGGGCAACATTAAACCCTCCAGCTGGTTTGTTCTTATTCCCATGGTTAGAAAGACTTCTTCCAACTTGTTCCGTCAGTTTTTGAATAACTGTTCCTAAAATTCATAAAAAAATACACTGACACTTTCCATTCACAATAAGGGGCTTTACTGTAAATCCTCTAGAAATCTTCCACAACAGAAAAAATAAGTAGAAAAAGGCTCTCTGAGGCAGAGATTGTCTCTTTTTCTGAATTTATATAAAAGAGTATCATCACAGAATCAGAATGGTTTGGGTTGGAAGAGACCATTCAGTTCTACAGAACTGACACCTCAAAGTACTATATTAATATAAACACATTAGGAAAAACATAGAACCACAGAATCACCTGGGTTGGAGAAGGCCTTCAAGATCATTGAGTCCAACCATTAACCCTAATCTACCAATCCAGCACTAAGCCATGTCCCCAAGTGCCACATCTAGATGACTTTTAAGCACATCCAGGGATGGTGACCCAACTACCTCCCTGGGCAGCATGTTCCAAGGTCTGACAGCCCTTTCAGTGAAAAAGTTCTTCCTAATGTCTAGTCTAAACTTCTGGTGCAGCTTGAGGCCGTTTCCTCTTGCTCTACCACTGGTTGCTTGTGAGAAGAAACCAGCTCCTACCTCTTTCCAGCCTCCTTTCAGGCAGTTGTAGAGGGTGATGAGGTCTCCCCTCGGCCTCCTTTTCTTGACACTGAATAACCCCAGTTCTCTCAGCTGCTCCTCCTAAGACTTGTGCTCAAATGTGCACATGAAGTACACATAAATATACATACCCTGGAGACTTAGTCTGCCTTAATGATGTTTGCTAATGCAGAAATATTATAAAGGAAAGCTAAATAATGGACAGCTGTTACAACATGCATATACAAAAGTAGTGAAAACACCTTTTGAAGTTTTGGCAGGTGTTCCAGTTTCTTCAAACTCGCTTTCCTCTGACCCATCCATACTGCTTTTGCTAGGAACCTTCTGGAAAGCACTGAGTTTGCTGCTTGATGGTTTTGACTGCTTTTGCAATAAAGCTGGTGATACGTAAAACTGCTTGATATCATCTTCATCTGCTTCTTCCTCTGAACTGAATGGTGGAGTTCTAAAGCACAAACACACATGACCAAGAACTTACTGGGTTTCACTGACTGCATTGTTATATACATATTTAAGCTTCCTTGTATTTTCCTTCCCAATAATAACGTGCATTTTTCTTACGTAAAAAAACACCCAGGAGCTCCCATAAATTCTAACTATCCATAAAACTATTTTAAAAGAGGCTACATGAACTCAGAAAATTATCACTAAATGATCTTTTATACAGATAGACATGACTGTTTCCAACTGTGCAACTATCTTTACAAAACAACAGACCAATATATAACAAGGCTTGCCAGGCAAGAAAAGACGGGCTTCCATGGATCAGCAGAGAGAGCAAAGTTCAGGGTCAAGCAACCTGCAATCACAGGAAGTCTGTTCTGATATTCTGTTAGATTAAAGTAATTTAGGAATTTTTAAGTGCAGGAAACGACAAAGTAATGTGCCTGGTGTGACTGAATACCATGTTTAATTTTGGTCATAGCAAGAAAATATCAATAAACTGAATAAAATAAGATCACCTGAGTCCTGAAATGCTTTTTACTGGCTCTGAAAAAGCATCTGAGAACCTCAGAACAAAACTAAAGGAAGTGATACTATCTGATTTTATCAAATGTCCCTCTTTGCTTCACAACAGGAACACATCTGCTGAAATGACAACATGCTGTCTTTCAGGCATTATAATAACAGACTCCAATGGAATAATACTACTACTACAAAAAAAAAAAAAGATTAACTATGCAGTCCAGAAAAGTGTTTTATAATTTCTGCTTAATAATAGCTTTTGCATGGTGAGTATGTGAATATTCAGTCATCACAAATGTTTCCTTCAAAAATATAAGGGAACAGAACATACGTGATACTAGCTGTCTTTCTGGAAACTCCATTTCCATAAAGGTTCTTGGATCTAAAAATAAGACAAGTTTATTTCAAGACTGACAATCAACAAAGTAAGCATGAAGTTTATATAGGAGAAACGTGAATTCTTTTCTTGATTCTTCCCGTATTAGCAGGAATTGTTCACATCAGTCACAAAACCCCAGACACCTGGGACTGTTACCTGAGGTATGAGGACTATGAGAACAGCATCTCTTACTTTGGTGTAGATGTATTTTCAGGGAGGACTGTTCTTTGTTCAGCGGGGCGGACAGCTGTTGAAGACCGTTTTGCTGGTTTTCGTGGGGTGGCAGACAAGGAACTTCCCAGCTGATTGAACATCTGTAGATCTAAAAGAGAAGTTACATATCTCACTATTAGAAACAATGTTTGGTATATTTTATATCTCATTTCCAAAATTAAAGATGTCTCTGCTGCAGAATATAATTTAAAAAAAAAAAAAGAAGGAAAAAAATGGATTTTTTTTCTTCAGAACAGTTCAGAGTTACCACGTATCTTGCTAATATGTGAGCTAGGATTTCTGCAGTAAAACACAATGCCAAGATCCCTTTAAAGGGAACTGCTCAGTTAGCCCTAACTATGTAGGCTATTTATGTGAAAAATTATGAAACCAGCTACACAGAAACGTTTCTAATTAAACTTTCTGCAGCAGTTTTAAAACGTAAGAAACAAAATAAAAGGGTTTTTTAACCTTCTGAAGGAAGCTGAGGACAGGAAACAGGTCTATTACAAGATGATGCTTTCTCTTCAACCCTAAAGCTAACTTGGCGTTCAAGATGCTTTCGAATTTCCTGCATCTCAGGCTCCTGCTTCTGTTTGCATTCTCTAGCAGACTCAATAGCGCGCAAAATTTTATTTAAGCGATCGTTTGGGATACCACGAACATCCTAAGGAAACAAACAGTACTGTAAACACAGGGGCTATTATTTCTGGGATTTACATCCTACAACCATATACGCTGTTTTAAACTCCAAATATCACAAAGCTTGTAGAAAAATCACAGAAGTTGGTAACACTGCTCCCGGGTGCAGCCGTATCCTCCACAGCCCTAATTGGACTGACATCCCCCTCAGGTTAATGAATTACATGTATCTATATCATGTGGAAATTTAGCTTAGGATTTTATGGGTTGAGGATTGTTGTAGAGGAGTGAAAGAGAACAGCAAAACAAGTGGGACCAAGATTACCCCTCTTTTAAATAACTCAAAATAATCTTACTGCTTTAATTCCCAAGGATTCCAGCTTCCCTTCCAGGATTTGCTCCAACTTAGCTCGTAATTCTTTAAGCAAAGAAGGATAAATATTCAAAGCCTTCGTTAAATACTGGTTACTTCTACCTTTTTTATCATCAACTTTCTCAATTTCTGAAATAAGAATGGAAAAATACATTCAAGAGACATTTGAAAAATCCACAGCACGTAAGACAACAACAACTGCACTGAAGCATGCATTTTTTTAGAAACATGGTAGACATGGATCTGCACTTTTTATCTGCATGGAGTTGTATTCTTTCTACAATTTTGGGCTAGATTACTAAAGTCAGCTCATTTGGAATCTATATCTCAGCACCTCGTACTCACCATCACAAGTATCTTTTATTTTTCCTTGTAACTGAGTATTTAACAACAGAGATCGTTACTTGTGGAACTGTACTTTTAAAGTACTGAAAAAGGAGGACTATCTTCTGCTGATGAAATTCTCTACAAGTGGTATTTCAAAACAAATCTGAACTCTAGCAGGAATTACAACAGGAATATGACAAACTTGTTCTCAAGAAAAGCTTCAAACAACGTAATATTCTCTGATAAAAAACACCTACTGAAATAAAACCTTTGGAAAGTTGTTAACACTTTCAGAAGTCTTGGCAGAGACAAACCCTTAGTCTGAGGCAGACTGCTTCACAGAATATACATGATGGATAATAATTATCTTTGAAACTCCTTCAAGGACAAAGTTCAGTGTTGTGTTTTCTTCTGTGCAGGTCTATGACATCATACATACTTAAAAGCAGACAAAGAAGTTTCTATCTCTTTCCCTTGCTTTAAGTATCAGTAATTACATGAACTCTTATGCAAGAAATAAAGAATCATCTAGACAGATTCTTCCACCTAAATTAAAGATTGACATCTAAGTTAGGTCAAAGTATTAGAGAGTCACACAGGAGAGCAAAACATACCCATCTGGAATCTGCCTATGAAGTGTCTCTAGCAAGACAAAGTTTTACTGAATGCCACCTAGACCAAGTGAACTCATGATCTGTGGGACCACGGTAACTGATTCTGTCTGACAGTGGTCAGCAAAGCTGGGGGCACAGCACATCCCAGGAAAGCATACTCCCAACTTGTAAACCACACTTCCATATTGGCCCCCTGAAATGAAAGGTAAATCTTGGGCAGGAGTTTGTCACTTTCCAAAATGCCTTACAGGGCAGCAGAGTCATTTGCCAGCTCACAGGCAAGAGCATAAATGAGGGAATTATTCCATACTGTGAATTTTTTAAAAAATGTATTCTTTAAAAAAGTGCCACTATCCTTTAAGATAGACATCACGAAGAGGATGCAAAAAACCCCTAAGATACACAGATGATATTTACGTTGTTTTGAGGATTGGGTTCCAATGGATCCTGGAAAGACCTATAGGTAATGAAAACTACATAGGTATGGTCCAGCTACTTTACTAAGAGATCTCTGTTGTAGAGAACAGAATCTGGCTGAAATCTTATCTGGCTTTGGGAACTGTGTGGACAACTCAGTCCCTGACAGTGGTGGGATTCATAGTGATTTGGCTGGAGAGCTGAGTCCTAAAAGAAGCAAAATGCTCGTTGGTGCTAGTTATCAGACTATCTCCAGTCAGGAAGAGCTGCATTATGCAGTATGAAATCCTCCCACCAAGCCAGACCTGAAACATTTTAAAGTGGAAGGCTAAAAGAAGCCTTCTGAAAATCCTGTCCCTTCCAGATGTTAATCCTTACAGTAAAATAGATCCATCTAAAAGCATTTTAAAATTCACTATTACTCTATACTACTATGGGCAACAAGACTATCCAGCATTATCTTAATTAATGATAACATTAGTTCTTGCTAATTAACTCAAATCAAGTCCTCTTTGCTACAGAAACTACTTAATGATCCTTTTTTTTTTTTTTTTTTTTCTCCCAAGAAAACCCTAACTGCTAGATTTGACAGCTTTGGAGACAAGGGGCCTTAAGTCTAACCCACTATTTCAGCTCCTACATAATCCTATGAAATAATCAGTCAAGCCAAGAATTTTCACACTCTCCCTTACAAATGGCTGTCAGGGGAAACAAAAGAATCTTGGTCTATCTTTTCAGACTGCATTCTTTCTCTCTCTCCTTTGTACTGCAGGCCATGCCTTTAGACACAGCAGAAGAATAAAAGACAATCCATCAAGAGAGAAGATGGAAAGCAAGAAAAATAGCAGAAAGAATGGCAAAAATGTGAGCAGTTTTTTATTTCAGATTGGTCAGAGTCACTGCATTTTCCCTGGGGAGACCTTTGACTTGTGTGCAGATGTATTCAGGTGACAATTTCATCTTCAAAACAGCATAACTCCTTCAAATTCAAACTCACTGGCTATAAGGTTCAAGACTGGTCTCGAGCTTTGCACAGAGCATAGATTATTATGCTATTCAGCTATTTGGTGTTTCATCTAAAGTCAGCTTCCTTCAGAAGAACACCATGCAGGATGAACCAATGCTTTCGCTTCTGTCACATGGAAATGTGGCCTTCTCCAAGTTTTTCTTACGTGAAGCAGAAGAGCTGCCAACACTTGGCTATGTAATTACATTCAGAATTGCACAACCCTGGCCGGAGCTGTGGCTGTTTAGAGGTAGGTGTCATTTAGATTTCTTGCAAAAGTATCTTTGGTACATCTATGAGAGCAATCAGCTCCAACCTCCACCACCAACTTCCTTCTTCTATCTGAACTCTTTATCCTCTTACACAGAGTCTGAGTGAGCACACGTTGCAATAGCTTCAAAACCAAGGACCTCCTAGTGAGGGGACAGTCCCCTTCAAACATTTTTGCTCTGCTTATCTCTGGTGCCTTTAGACATATCAACGTATCAGGGTTGAGATGGAGGCCAGTAACCAGTGGTGTCTCCCAGGGATAAATACTTGGTCTGGTCTTGTTCAGCATGTTCATCAATGATCTGGATGAGAGGACAGAGTGTACCCTCAGCAAGTTTGCTGATGATATCAAACTGAGAGGGGTGGCTGACACTCCAGAGGGCTGTGCAGCCATCCAGTGTGACCTGGACAGGCTGAAGAGTTGGTCAGAGAAGAACCTCATGAGGTTCAACAAGAACAAGTGTAGCGTCCTGCACCTGGGAAGAAAGAACCTCCAGCACCAATATAGGTTAGGGGTGGATCTGCTGGAAAGCAGTTCGGAGGAGAAGGATCTGGGAGTCCTGATAGACAGTAAATTATCCATAAGCCAGCAATGTGCCCTTGCTGGCAAGAATGCCAATGGAATCCTAGGTTGCATAAAGAAGAGTGTGGCCCATAGGTTGAGGGAAGTCATTCTGCCCCTCTGCTCTGCCTTGGTGAGGCCACAAGTGGAATACTGCATCCAGTTCTGGGCTCCACAGTTCAAGGGAGACAGGGAGCTACCGGAGAGAGTCCAGAGGAGAGAGATGAAGATGACTGGGGGATAGGAGCATCTCTCTTATGAGGAAAGGCTGAGAGAGCTGGGACTCTAGCCTGGAGAAGAGAAGGCTGAGGGGAGACCTTATGAATGCCCGTAAGTATCTAAAAGGTGGGTAAAGATGGAGACAGGCTCTTCTCAGTAGTTCCCAGTGTTGGAACAAGGGGCAAGGAGTACCAGTTGGAACATAGGAAGTTCCATTTAAATATGAGGAAAAACTTCTTTACAGTGAGGGTGACAGAGCCCTAGAACAGGCTGCCCAGGGAGGTTGTGGAGTCTCCTTCTCTGGAGATATTCAAAACCCATCTGGATGCAGTCCTGTGTAAAGTGCTCTACGGAATCCTGCTTTAGCAGGGGAGTTGGACTAGATGATCTCTAGAGGTCCCTTCCAACTCCAGCAATTTTGTGATTCTGTGCTATAGAATATGACCTGCTTCAAAGAGTTAACCAGAGTTCCATAAAAACATTGAGCTTCCATAAGGAAATCACAGTATTTACAAGCACCCATAGCAAACAGGAGACTGACACAAGCAAGGAGTGTTCCCACCCAAATCACATAAGCATACTCAGATACTATGAAAAATACTGTAGCTATCAAATTATATTTACATTTTTATTTTGAAGAAAGACATACCACTGTACTTCGAGCTGAATCAACCATTACCTTTTTCCTCTTCTGAAAGCTCCTCTATGGGCTCCAGCATATGCACCAAGGGTGCCTGCTCTAATAACGAGGAAGAACAGGGACATGGGACAGGACAGAAAAAGGTCAAGGTACAGAGTGGGAAAGTTAGGCAAAAAAACACACTGATGTCAATTTTCCTGATTGCTAACAAGCTGCTTAACAATCACAAACCCAATGCTAAGTTGTAAGCACCTCATGGTTTTAAGTACTGCCTTGCTGGTACCTTTTGTACAGAAGCCCCTAATACAGTCATCACTTCAGGAGTGATTCAGTTGCCCAAATGTGGGTGCCTAATGTCATCTCAGATATATCAGAGTTTCAAGCCATTGGCACAGCTGGTATGTCACACAACTATAGAAAAAGCCATGCCCTTCTGGAATGGCACCCAGAGGCCATGTCAGGATGTTTAGAGGCATCTACAAATGACAAGGCCACCTGGGATTAAGTATATGAATACTGTCATTCATTTCTTGTAAGAAGCATCTCAATATCTAAACTTACTTTAAAATATGCTTATGTGCAATTTGATGCTAAAAGTTTACAAAAAAGTAGTAAAACAGGCAGAATATAAACCCTAAAAAATGTAAGGAAAAAATGTTAACTTATCATTCCAGAGAATTATTAAGTACTGAGCCCATATGTGCAAGCTGTAAGTAAATTATATATATGAGATAATTTCCAATATAACCAAATTTTAAAAATCTTCAAATCACTCCAATATAGTGACATTCAGCATTATCGTGCTTTAAAGACATAATGAAATGTTCTCTGCTGAAAACAGCTTCGTAAACATGTTGAAATTATAATTTCATAAGCTGTAGGGTACCATTTGCTGTATATAAATGAAGCCAAAGTACAGTTTATTTACAACTTTAAAGACTTCAGATGTAAGATGCATGAAAATGCTTATATGTGGACCAACAAAAAATCAGGTTTTTAAAATGTTAAGATTCACCTTCCATAAATAAATTTATTTCAATGAAAACTAGAATTTTAGTTTATTCTAGGATTTAT